AACAAACAAAGGCACCGCGTTTGGCGGGAGGAGGGAGGAGGAAGGCCCGGCCCCTCGCCGCTCTGCACCTGGGCCGAGGGGGTTAAAGAGCGTCAGCGGGCGCCCCTTCCCAGGAGAGAGCACAGATGCCACGCCGGCCTCTGCCCGGCTCCCGGCCCGTCGGCGGGCGCGGGAAGGAGCGGGCAGATGGCGGGAGGCAGGCGAGGCCAGAGGAAGTTGCCCATGCCCTGCTCGGCTTCCTAGCAACTGGGCCGGCCGTGCCAAGAAAGCCAGCCGCGCCGAGGAGAGACGCCGCGGGGGACCTGGAGCCCAGCGGCCGGCGGGGGAGGGGAGGCCTCCGGACACCCCGTGGCAGAGCGGGCAGGCCTCCGGACCCCACACTGCCGGCCGGCCGGCCTCCCCGGACCTCCGTCTTCCCTGCAGCGCCAGCCCCAGCCACCTGGCCGCTCGGGACGCCTTTCAAGACCACCTTGCCAACGCCAGGGCCTCCGACAGCATTCTGGCCCAGCCTTCTCGGGGTACGGGGTACGTTCCTGCTTCTCCATAGCAGCGAAAGCTCCGGGCACACCCCCTCTCCCCCCCATGCACCTGGGCCAGCCAGGCAGCAGCCCAAGCTGAGAGAGGCGGGGCACAGCCCGGCTAGGGTCCCCGAGGCCCAAGACACGCCCTCCCTGAGCCCTGGAGGCTCCTGGTCCCTTCCTTTTTTTTTTTTTTTTTTTTAATATATTTTATTGATTTTTTACAGAGAGGAAGAGAGAGGAATAGAGAGAATCATTGATCATCTGCCTCTCACACGCCCCCTCCTGGGGATGTGCCTGCAACCAATGTACATGCCCTTGACCGGAATCGAACCCGGGACCTTTCAGTCCGAAGGTCGATGCTCTATCCACTGAGCCACACCGGTTTCGGCTCCTGGTCCCTTCTTTACAAACAGCCCCTGCAGCCCAGCCAGTGTGGCTGAGTGTCACCCCATGAACCAGGAGGTCTCCGGTTTGGTTCCCAGTCAGGGCGCAGGCCCAGGTTGTGGGCTCCCTCCCTGTGCCCAGCAGGGGGCGTGCAAGAGGCAGCTGAGCCATGATGTTTCTCTCTCATCCATGTTTCTCTCTCTCTGGAATCGATAAAAACATAGTATTTTACAGATGAATGCATATATGCAGCAGCCCATCTTACACCAGGATCACACATCTGTCATCTGAGGGGAAAGCACCCCAGCCTCGTCCCTGCCCCGTGTTCCTCCTTAACCGTCAGGAGCGCTTCCCGTCCTGGTGCCGCTCAGAAACCGCCAGGTTCCGCCCTCTCCGCGCACAGAGCGCCTTGCGCTCTCCCCAGGATTTCAAATTAAATGTGCCTGTCGCTCCCGAAGCCTCCAGGAACGCGGGGACGATTATTTTTAACTTTTTACTGTTGTATCTCAATTACCTCCACTTAGGAGACAGCCGATCTATTAAGTTCTCAGGATAGGACCCAGTGGGGATCAATTTTAAAATTAAAAAGATTTTTAAGAGTCCGCTCTTCGAAGTTCCATCATCATTTCAAATTTCGCTGAAAAACAATTTGAATGTTAACACTCCTCTGGAGAGATTTCCAGGGAGCCTCCGGAAAGAGGGAGAGAGCGTGACGTGGTCCTGGCCCCGGACACATGCCGAGCCGGGCCTGCGCTCCCGCCCCGACGCCCCACAGAGCCGGGGTGCGGGCACGATAAACGGGGGTCCCAGTGTTCTCCAAGCCCCTCCCTCCATGGGAACCAGCAAGCCCCCGAGTGGTTCGCACCCCCAGCGCCTCACCCCTGCTGCTCCCCGTGTCCTGAACACACGTGGCCCCTCCATCTCCACACGGCAGCTCCCTCCCTTCCAGCCAGCACTCTGCTCAGTGTCAGGTCCTTAGCAGGCCCGTTTCCCACCAGTGCTCCCTGCCCTCTGACCCGGCTTTCCTTTTCTCCACGGCACTCATCGCCATCTGGTACACCACACCCGGGCACACACACGCATGCACACACACGGAGGCATGCACACACACACAGAGGCATGCACACACACACACAGGCATACACATATATGCACATAAGCATGCACACAAAGAGGCATGCACATACCCAGACATGCACACACACAGAGGCATGCACACACCCCAAAGGCATGAATACAAACAGGCATGCACACACACACACACAGAGGCATGCACACACATGCATGCACACGCATACACATAAACAGACACACACAGAGGCATGCATACTCACAGGCATGCACACACACAGGCATGCACACACACATTTAAAAAATAAACCTTCCTTTTTAGAGCAGTTTTAAATTTTCAGAAAAACCATAAAGATGGCACCCGTGTGAGAGTTCCCATATAGCCAGTGTCCCTATCACAACGCTTTACATTGACGTGTATTGATTCACTACTAATGACTTTGTTGGATCACCTCCGCTGTTACCTAACGCCCTGTTCCTGGCCCAGCACACACGTCACGGAGTCGCCGCGGAGGAGCGATGCTACCTGCCATCAGGGCATTCCCTCATCCCAGGGCGGAAGGCGGGCTCCCAGGAGACGGCCTTTGCCCCTCCGAGCCCCGCCCCCTTTACCCAGCAACTGGAGGTGCTGGCCACGTCACAGGTGTTCAGTGAACAGCTGCAGAATGAGTGAATTTGCTAAATGCTTTTTCTAATCCTTTTCACCGCGAGGTTTCACAGAGTCCGGCCCTTCCCGCGTGCATGGAACGTGGGAAGCCCGAGTAACGGCCAACGGGGCCTCCATCACCACTGGCGGGAGCGCCGAATGGAGAAGCACGACTGTTTCCAAGGTCCGGGCTGCAGGCCCCCGAGAACACCCACCTGCGCCGCGTGAGGACACCTGGGGTGAGGGGCGCCCTGAGTGTGGCCGGAGCCCCCCAAGCTCATTCCGGGCAGCCCGTGCAGCCCATCTGCCCCCTGACCGGCTGGGGAAACTGGAGGCCGAGTCTGCGGTGCTGGGCCCGCCTCCGGCTCCCTGAGCTCCCACCGGGAGGGATGGGGACTCAGGGACTCAGGGAGGCCAGGCCCGGCCCGCGTCGGAGGGAGGACCTCACCGGGCCGCGCGGGGCGTCCCAGCTGCACCGCCCCTTCCCTCCCGCCCTCCGCTCTCACCTGGCCCGCGCCGGCGGCCCCGCCCGAGGCCCCGCCCACCCGACACCCAGCCCCAGAAGCCCCGCCCATATTAGCCCCTCCCACCTGACTCCCCGCCCCGGGACCCGCCCACCAGACGCCCCTCCCACCTGACGCACCGCCCCAGAGGGCTCGCCCGGAGGCCACGCCCCCATAGGCCCGCCCACCCGACGCCCCGCACCACCGGCGGCCCGCAGCGCCCCCTGTGGGCGGGCAGGAGCAGGCCCGCGCACCTCTCCGCTCACCATTGAGTTCCTCTTCTTGTTCCTTTTACCTTTCCCTGCGCTTCCCCGTCACTCCTCTCCCGTCCCTTCTCTCCATGTTTTCAATCAGACACTCATTCTTTCATTCATTCTTTTAAAAAATATATTTTATTTTATTTATTTATTTTTAAAATATATTTTTATTGATTTTGTACAGAGAGAAAGGGAGAGAGATAGAGAGCTAGAAACATCGATGAGAGAGAGTCATCGATCAGCTGCCTCCTGCACACCCCCCACCGGGGATATGCCTGCAACCAAGGTACATGCCCTTGACCAGAATCGAACCCGGGACCTCTCAGTCCCCAAGCCGACACTCTATCCATTGAGCCAAACCGGTTTTAGCTAAAAATATATTTTATTGATTTAAAAAAGTATACTTTGTTTTTTTAAGAGAGAGGAAAGGATAGGGATAGAGAGTTAGAAACATCGATGAGAGAGAATCATCAACCAGCTGCCTCCTGCACACCCCCCACTGGGGATGTGCCCGCAACCAAGGTACATGCCCTTGACCAGAATCAAACCCGGGACCTTTCAGTGCGCAGGCGGATGCTCTATCCACTGAGCCAAACCAATTTTGGCTGGCTACGCTCCTTTATCTCATTGTATCCTATTACCCTCACCTCCCTTGTATAACTACTACCCTTATCTGAAACTAATTACTTGGTTGCCGTATTTATGGCCTGGTGTAATCCCCTCACTTCGAGGACAGGGATCTTGTCTGCCTCCCTCATATCCCAGATCCAGTGCTTGGCAGCATCATGCAGTCAGTAGTTCTAAAATGAATGAGTGTCCACGAGGAAATGAACAGGAGAGCATTTTAATATATATATTATTTATTTCAGAGGGGAAAGGAGAGGGAGAGAGATAGAAATATCAATGATGACAGAGAATCATTGATCGATGGCCTCCTGCACGCCCCACAACCTGGGCATCCCCTGGCTGGTGATGAACAGGGAACTCCTGATTCATAGGTCACCACTCAAACTTGGAGCCACACCCCATTGGGCCACACCCGCCAGCAGGAGAGCATTTGAATCAAACATAAATGTAGTCGATGTCATACAGATTTATTTATTTTTTTTAGAGTTTTAGGTATTGGGGTGCTTTGTTTGCCTCCTTTATGATTTATGAAAGTGGTTGTGAGAAAGAAGTAATCAAGGGAGAAATGTTTGCTTACATAGTTGGATATCTAGGGACGAGGTGCTATTCCCAGTATTTGGGGTTCTAGCTAGTTCTGTACCTATTTCCCCATGCGCCCGAGAATGTCTGAGGCCCTCGTCAACGACCGGAACCCTGCCTGGGAGGTGGTGGGCGCTCCATAAATATTTCAGGAATTCCAGAAGCAAGCTGGAAACGACTTAGAAAGGAAGAGCCCATTGAACCGGCTGGGTCAGGCTGCAGTTCCTCCCCGGGGCAAGAGGCGGCGCTGGCGTCACACCCGCCCGGCCGCCGGCCGTGCTTGGCCCCTCCGGCTGACCGTCCGTCGCAGGGCCCCGCGGCCGGGGCGGGAGCTAGCCAATAGGAAGCCGCCTTAGTTGTGAGGTGGGAGAGAGCTGCCCAATGAGCGCAGCGGGTGTAGGCGAGGGGCGGGGCGGCGAGGCGGGGCCGAGGAGAGCGGTTGGAGGTGGGAGTCGGCGCTGCGGGCCGGGCGGGGCCGCGATGCGGGCGGGAGCGCGTCCGTGACCGGAGCTGCCGGCCGACATGAACTCGCTGGAGCAGGCGGAAGGTACGGCCGCCGGCGGGCTCCGGAGGGGCTGCGGCCGCGGGGGCCCCGCCGCGGGAGAGGAGGCCGCGCTGGGGGGCGGACGCGGCCGGGAGCTCGGGGCGGGGGCGCGAGGGCCGGGCCTGGGGGCCCGCGGGGCCCGGCCGGACCCGGCCGGACCGGGTCGCGCACGCGCGGCCGCTGGGGGGCGTCGCGGCCGCTGCCCCGGTGCCCGGCGGGGGCCCCGGCTCCTCGTCGGGGCCGTTTTTAATTCATTCGGGGAGTCTGCACTTCCGTTTGCAAGCCCGCGCGCTCTGTCCCGAGAACCCCGGGAGCGCACCCCTCGCCCTGGGTTTCGGGAACTCCGTGGGTTGTACCCCTCGTTCCTTTATCTTCTGCCTTTTCCTCCGCAAACTCCGGGAGTTGGATCCCCAATTAACTGCCGGGGTTTCAGGTAACGGCGGGGTGAGAGGCTGCCTCTCGGTTTCCTTTTTAAAGTTTAAAAAGCGCCATCGTGGAAGTGACACTCCGCCCCCACCTCCCGCCGCGCTCCTCCGCGGGGCACCTTGGCCGCCCCCGACGGGAGGAGGCGCCGGGGCGGCGGAGCCGGGGTCACACCTCCCCCGCCTTCGGAGGGAGGGCCGGGGGCTGGCTGCGCTCGGGGATGTCTGACGGGCGCCCCGTGGAGCCCGAGCCCCGTTAGCAGGCTCCGAGGCGCAAAGCGTAGCCATTGGCTAGACCCAAGGGCGAGCCGTGGGGAGCGGGTGCCTGCACCCCGGTAGACGTGGAGGACCTGGTGTGAGGGGAGGAGGCCCTTCGGTCTGATGGGAAGTTCTTGGGTCCAGCAGAGTTAGGACCCCACCTGGCCTTGATCCTCTTATTTGCACACACCTCCCCCCCACACACCCCGTATTTCTAGCTTCAGGCTCCGCTTGAGGCTGCTGCTGCTGCGCCTTCCCACATAGCACATACTCTCAAAGTGAACCAGCCACTGTCCTTGCGCGTGAAATTGGAACCAAAGGAACGTAATGTGTCTGTCGAGGGCGTAGAGCTGTGGTGGCAAAGGAAGCAGGCAGGGCAGCCATACCTGTGAGCGGTGACGCAGCTGGAGCGCCGGACTCAGCCCAGCGGGAGTAGCTAACTAACGGGGAGGCTGGCATCTCTCTGCCTAGATCTCAAGGCTTTCGAGAGGAGGCTCACCGAATACATTCACTGTCTGCAGCCCGCCACGGGGCGCTGGAGAAGTAAGTGCCCGGATGTGTGTGTGTGTGAGTGAAAGGGGACATAAACTGAACAGTTGGTACTTTTCTCCCAGTTTAGCAATGACTGACTTTAGTGTAAAACTTGAATGACAAACTCTGGCTCTACTGAACCATAGATGATGTTTCCTTTTGTTTCCACAGTTTCTAAATGTATTTAGCATTGTAAACAATGCATTGTAAAGAACTTTTAAGAAAGGTACCTGGCCACTTTGCAGAGCAATCTTTTTTATTTTAACATTTAAATATATATATATGTGTGTGTGTGTGTGTGTGTGTGTGTATATATATGTGTTATTGATTTGAGAAAAGAGAGCAGAGGGAGAGAAGGATGAGAGAGAATCATTGGTTGGCTGCCTCCTGCATGCCCCCTATTGGGGATTGAGCCTGAAACTGGGCATGTGTCTGACCCAGAATTGAACGGTGACCTCTTGGTTCATAGGTCAACACTCAACAACTAAGCCACACCACGCACGCTGAAGAACAATCCTTGTAGTTGAATTTTCATTTAACCATTAAAATAGACATTTATTTTTTTTATTAAACAAATATTACAGATTTGATAGACAATACATATAAAATTTTCAGTAGCTTATTTAGCAGTTTTACAATTTGCCTGCAAATGATAAAGTTTTGTTAAGGAAAATAATATTTATCATATATAGAGTGGGGCAAAAGTAGGTTTACAGTTGTGAGTGCAAAACAGTTTAGTATTTTTATATTATTATTTTACCAGATGCCTGGTGCACAAAATTCATGCCCTGCGGGGGAGGGGTCCCTCAGCCCGGCCTGCGCCCTCTCACAGTCCGGTTTTCTTCTGACTACTTTTAAGATGCTCTCTGCCTTTGTCTTTTTGTAGTTTCCCTCTAATGCACCCAGGGATTAATTTTCTTCCTCCTCACAGTCCGGGACCCCTGGCTCCTTACTGCCTACCGGCCTGCTTCTCCTTACCGTTCGGCTCCCTGAAGCTCCTCAGTGCTGCCATGGAGGCTGAAGAGACGCCCCCTCTGCCGCTGTGCTCGCCAGCTGTGAGCCCGGCTTCTGGCTGAGTGTCGCGCTCCTGCATTGAGCATCTGCCCCCTGGTGGTCAGTGCGTATCATAGCGACCAGCCATTCTGGTTGTTCGGGTCGTTTGGCCATAATGCTTGCTTAGGCTTTTATTATATAGCCTAGAGGCCCAGTGCACGAAGTTTGTGCGTGGGGAGGGCCCCGAGTGGCTACTGGCTACCATCTGGGGCGCCTCCCTTCCTCCCGCCACCACTGCCGCCAACCTGCCCCCTGGTTGAACTCCCAGTCGAGAGGACAATTGCAAATTAGGCTTTTATTATATATGATTATTTTCCATATGAACAACTGTAAACCTACTTTTGCCCCTCTGTATCTGCAAAGGTTATGAAATTTGTTGATTTTAACAGTGATTATGCTGCTTTAGACCCTAACCGAGAAAAAAATTTCACATTGTCTACTCACAAATAAAATGAATTGAGGTTACTGCCCAGTAGAAGCAAGCACATATAGGCAAATGAACAAATGATGACATCGGCAAACAGAATGCTTTGCTGACTTACGTTGGGACCAGTCTTACTTTACGTTCTTGGGGGTTTATTGTTGAAACTAATTCCTGCCAAGAAAGAAGCACAGCACATGTCAGACATGCTGCACGTAGAGTGGCCCTCGGTAGTGGGGCCAGCAGAGCACTAGTGAAGGTACGGGTCTGTCAGGTCAAGATTTCCATGTAGTTTTTATTACATTTATTTATTCTGTGTGCGAGGTTTTACTCCTGTGCCGTGAGAATTCTCATTGGTCAGAATTCACAAGTAGTGATTTCTTCAGGTTCTCTGGTTTACCTAGAATTCCCTCCAAAACCGTGTTCCACTGTCCTGGAGAATCTTCTAAAGTACGTATGATGCTGCCCGAGCTTATAAAATGCACCATGATGACCACATTTACCGTTTTACCTTCTCTGGTGTGGTCCCTGCGCTCCTGTAAGTGGCAGCGTGGTTGATGTGTGTGTAACAGCAGGTGTATGATCACCCCTATGTGGGTTTGCTTTGCTTATTGACAATAAAACCACTGGAATATATTTCTTACTGGTCATAAGAATTATAGGAAATTGATTTTAATCTGTTTTGAGATGAGAACTAATTTCAAAATTTGATGGTTATTAAATACTTAAGATGAGATTATTTTTCTGTGATTTGCCTCGTCTTAAAATACATTGCCAGGACTTCTAGCCAATTAGGGATTTAATGTATTTCTGTTACTCTCTGACGCTGGAGCTGTACATTTTAAGACTTTCCCGCTGGAAGACAGTAGCTGCATTGATCAGAATATTAACCAGGCCTTGTTGCCTTTTCGTGATTTAGTAATGCCAGTTACTAACTTTTACTTATGTTTTATTTAGAACTTTTAAAAATAATTCTAGCTAAGTGGGGAGAGAGAAACCTTAGCTCAGATTTACTGTCAGTAATCTCTACCCGACCTTCCGGTGAATCCCTTAAAGAAAACCCGATGCTGACTGCATGCTCCATACACAGCACACGGCCCTTTGCAATTAAAGCGCAGGCTGCCAGGCAGACCCTGCAGTCAGAACTCACAGGCATTCAGAAAGGAGCTTTGTCTGGTTGGTCACATTGGAAATGAGAGGGTTTTTGTTTTGCTTTTTATTTGAATTTGCAAAATCAGTACAAAACACATAGAAAGTTATATGATGTAGAATCCTAAAGTTTTGCCATCTTGGTTTTATTGCTTTAATTTCATTGACTTCCATACGTCTGACCGAAGTAACGAGGGGGACAGTATTGTCCTCAGTAGCTCAGGTCACCAGGGTTGGAACTCCTCACGGTTCGTGGCGAGTCCCCTGTTGGGCATCAGGTGCATTTTCCGTTCCTGAGTGCGCTGCCTGGGCACTCCGTGGCTGGTGGGCATCTTCTGCTGGAGCTCATTCCGTACTAATTTTGTGTTTATCTCTCACCAGTGCTTCTCATAGTGGTATCTGTGTGTACAGCTACTGGTGCCTGGAACTGGTTAATAGATCCGGAGACACAAAAGGTAGACGTTTGATTTACGATCTTTAATACATTAAACACGGTACTGACTGTAACAGTGCTTTGTTCATTGGGGAGTGTTAGACACTGCTGCCGTTACTGCTAACAGTGGCATTAATCATCATATTAAAAGCATGCCTTACATGAATGTGCTTCAGAAAACCTTTGGCTGGCCATTGGGAATTAAGTATGTTTACAGGGAAAGGGCTAAGAAATACAGCTCCACTTGGATTGCTCCTCGCTCGTTTCTGAACTGTGTGCAGCTTTCTGTCTTATTTGTCCCTATTTTTACTGTTCGGCTTCACTAGTGTCCGCAGGGCCAGCTTTCGAGAATTATAACATTTTCTCCTATCGGCTCCCTTTGTTAATACTTTCCTCACCCCTCAAAGGATGGAGCCGGCTCTGTAGGAAGCACGTGACGAAATAGCACACTATAAATGTTACAAACAGTCAAGACAGAAACTCATTGGACTTGGAGGACAGAACCAGGCACGACCCCAGGTCACTGACGGGGTGGCCATGTGAATTGCATTACAGATTAGCCTCCGAGGCCCCTCATCGATCAAGTCCCCGCCAGTTCCCCGGGTTTCATTGTCTGTGAAGAGGTATACGTATAAGTTTCTTAGCTAGCAAAGCTTTTATTTCCTTAGCGTTTTATCTCCAAAAAAAAATTTCCTGCCTGGAGTTTAATATAGGAAACACCGAGAGCGCTCCCATTGGGCATCCGGCGCATCCCGACCACTGCAATAACGGTCATAACGGGATCCTCCAGGCGCCCTCTGAGGAGAGCGGGGAGCGTGCCTCTCAGACTGCCTGTCTGCTCACCGCTCTTCACACCACGCTCGTCCTTTTTGTCAGAGAAGCAGCAGTCTCCGATTTATCAGTGAGGTGGTTCCTCCCCTGCAGCTTTATTTATGTAATCATGTAAATTTATTTAAAATGTATGTAAAAATGTTATTTGTGTAAAATTGTGTAATTTTCACAAACCTTAATCCCACTCCCCCCTTATGAACTGGGATGAGGTAACTGTGGCAGCAGCTGTACGGATGACCTTTTATTTTATTCGGGAGAAAAGCCAGATCGGAGGCTTGTCGGCAGCTGCATGGCCGCGCCGGCAGCCAGGGTTCTTAGCGTGCCGTCTCCCGCCTGGCCCACTGGGGTGGGAGGTAATGAGCAGGGGAGGTTGCGATGGAATTTTCTGTTAATAGAGGGTTCTGTGGCAGAGAGAAACTCTCCTGAGTGTTCATTTATAAAACCCGGTGGTGAGGCTGCGCTTGGTACTCATCTTTGGGGGAAGAGGGAAGGAAGCTGCAAGAAGATTGAAAAGGTCTGTCTGGGGAAATGAAGCTGACTTCTAATTGGGAAAAATACAAGCTGATTTCCAGCTAGTTGAGATCTTAATAAAACACAGAATTAAATGTAATTTGAAATAGGCCCAAAACTCTGTAGTTAATATGATTTTCTAAATTAGGTGCGAATGTGAGGATTAGCCTAAGGGTTGGCTCTGTATATTTTAGTATTTAATAAGCTTCAACCTGACAGGCCTTTTCAATAGCAATTGTGTCTGTAGCCGGAGATGCAGACTCCAAGCCAGTGGCTAGCTGGAGGGACACAGGAGAGGGACCTGGCATGTGTGGGGGGCCCCCACCCCCGATCTATAGGGACACTCTGCGTGGCTGCAGTGGCTGAGGCCACAGGAGAGAAGGTGGCACCGGCTATGGCATTAAAATTAAAGCATGAACTGCCCTGCTGCCCCGGCGCAGGCACACAGCACACCGCTGGCCCGAGGCATAGCATGGCCTCGGGTTTCAAGGAGACCGGTCGCTGGAACAGAATCTTCCTTCAGGACGCATCCTTCTGGGGGCCTCTTCCTCCTATGTCTCCCGCCCCCCGTTTCTCCATTTGACAAGTTTATTTACCCAGGACCGAGCTAGGCCGTCCGCCAGGCACTTTTCCTAAGTCGTCTTTGTCCTGAGACAGGTTCGCGCCTCGTGGTGTGCGGGGGGTGCAGAGCCTTAGCTTGACTCCTCGCTCCCCTCGCTTCCCAGTCCACTTGTTTCTTGGCCAGACCAGACATTTGTCTTCTCTCCGCTCACCTGCTTCCCCGACCCCAGGGGTCTGCTTTCCGTGCCTGCTTGTTTCCGAACGTGGCTCCTGGACGCCCGTCCCCCTGGTTCTAGTGTCGTGTGGGGTCCTGTGTTCTGCTACCCACTGAGGGTCCAGATCTGAACCCCTTTTCCCCGAACTCTGGTCTCTGTGGATAGCTCCCAGGTTTTCCCTGCTCGAGGTTCCATGGCCACTGAGTCTCGGGCTTCTAAGCCAAACCCTCCGCTGCTGCAGAGGGAGGGGGGTGCTGGGGGAGTCCTGAGGATGCGCAGGGGTGGCCGGTAGAGAGGAGGGGGAACGGGCAGCACCTGTGCGTGTGGCAGGAAGCGCTGCCACGGGACCAGCCACGCCTGGCACAGTGTGCCCAGGCCCTGAGGAGCGTTTCAGCGGGGAAGGTGCTAGACCACAGGGTCTGACTTGTTTTCATTGAGATCGAACCCTCTTCGCAAGACTCGGGTAGCGTGCTGCTCCAGAGGCACAGGCCGTGTCCCTCTCAGGGACCGAAGAGGGTGCTTTTCGTAGGCCTCTCCCTGGGAGGGCTCAGTGCATGTTCGGGGTTTATTACAGGAATGAATTTGTAGTGGTTCAGGTATCTGGAATGAATGGAGGGAATATTACTATATTGCTACCTTGAATATGTAAACGATATATGTTTTCATTTTTATAGCATAGCAATACAGAGAACTGGCAGTCTTGGCAGTCTTCAAACGCCCGTATTTAGATGATTAAATGTTACATATATGCATGCCTGAGTGGAGAGGTGGGAGGGAGTCTGTGTTGTCTGAGACTTTTCACATTTTCTCTCGCAAACGCGCTCTCCAGGTGTCGTTCCTCACGTCGCTGTGGAACCACCCGTTCTTCACCCTCAGCTGCATCACCCTCATCGGCCTTTTCTTCGCCGGCATCCACAAGCGCGTGGTGGCCCCCTCCATGTATCCTTTCTCAGCGAGCTCACTGGGAACCCTTCCTGGCGAGGGAGGGCGGTCCAGCCTCTTCCAATGCCGCGTTTCCTTTAACCGCTCCTCAGCATAGCTGCGCGGTGTCGGACTATATTAGCAGAGTACAACATGTCTTGTGATGACGTGAGTATTTTCTTCATTTGAAAATTACAGACCTGTGAAAGGACTATATTTTTGCTTAAGTGAAGCACGCATTTTATTAACAATAATTATCTCCATGGAATTAATAGTCGGGGTATTCCTTAATGCATTGATCCTAAGACTTTTTAAGTATTCTAACATCTCTGAAATTGGGGTGGATTTAATAAGTCAGGGTGTCTTACAGTTACATTGGTAGAGTTGACAGTTTAATTTTTCTTAATGGTGCAGCTCTCCTCTTATTCCAGCTGTTGGTTAACATTTTAGTTTGAGGAAATTAAAGTTCATTGTTGAGAAAATAAAAGTTCAGTTCAACTTTGAAAAAACTTAATAACAAGTAAAATTTACTGCTGGAAAAAGAAATGCTTTTGTCACATACATCATGTTATTCGTAGTATTTTATACAATGTAAAGCATAAAAATTAATTCAATTACACTAATTTTATTTTACCCGGTTGATTGGATTAGTTTTAAGTAACCAGGGGACAGAGAATATATCAAATATTGTACGTGTGTGTTTTAAAATAATAAAGACTGGAAGAAAGCTCCACGTAGAGAAAACTTTGAAAAATAATTCCATTGTTTAATCTTGACTATATAGGGAGGTGTCCCAATACCCTTCAAGTGCCCTCAGGTTTACAGATAAATGGCGGTGTTTTTAATAGAACTTTGTGTTTAAAAACTTCACCTTTTGTTCTTACAGACAGGAAAGCTGATTCTGAAACCGAGGCCCCACGTCCAGTGACAGTGTGCAGCCCGCGGCGGGCCCGGAAGCAGCCTTTCCTCAGACCTGGCCCCGCAGCAGCCACAGCCTTCCCGGGGCGGGGGAGGTGGACGGCAGCGAGACCGCCGACAGCCTGTGCAATACTCACCCGGAGGCTCGGCGGCGGGGACCCCAGGATCAGCGCCCCCGGATCAGCGCCCCACCCGGGATCAGCCGGCCCCACGGGCCGTTCGCGTTCAGTATTAGCGTCACTTTAGTACTTCGGAGCCTGCAGCGGTGGTTGCAGGGGAAGTGTGTGTGTATGTTACTAAGTAAAACTTAGAAACAGAACCTCATCAGTTTTTATAATGTATTTTTTCAAACTACTGTAAATAGCAGATCGATGCCAGTGTCAAAGAGGAAGCGCTCTGTGGACTTGTCCTCCTGCACCAGCTGCCGGAAGGGCGGCGCGCCATCGCCACGGCCTTCACCGCCTCCCGCTCCGTGCAGTGCCTTCCTCTGCCAGCTCCTCTCCATCAGATGCAGGGCCGCGGCGTGGGCTTGGCCGGGAGAAACTCCTCTCCATTAGTTATAAGAAATCCTAAATGTTTTGAGAAACAGTTTTCGTTAAACCAGAGAGTGAACTTCAGCCACTACGGGGGAGATATTTTACTAGTCATTGTTTTCATTTAATGCTAAATTTACTTTATGTTTTAAAAATAATTTTAAGAACACTCCAGAGGCTTCTGAAAATGCCGGTTTAGTTATCAATTATGTATTGTCTGGGAATGGATGGTTATTGTTTTAGATAATTGGGTTTTACGCTGTGGTCAGCGTGCCATGGCACTAGGATTGCAGTGTCCTTGATCGTCGGCTCGTCACCAGGAGAGCCGGGCGGTGCCACACGAGAACAGTCATCACCGTTAGTGTGACTGACATGCTGAGTGTGCATCTCAGCCACATGGACTCTGTGACCTAGAATTAAAGTATTGGGATTGCTATAAATATTTTAAAGAACTGGAGGTGTCTTTTATCTGTTTATTAGAAGATTTTGAGAAGGTTTAAATTATTTCAAGAGCAATCTTTTAAATTTCATTTAACATAAAGCTGAGAATTCAGTAACAGGACAAGAACTTTTTAACCAGGCGACCGTTTCATGGAAACATGTTCCTCCGGCCTGTCACCTGCGTCAGGTTTTATTCTTTGGACTGTAGCAATAAAACGTGCTCCTGAGAAGTCTTAAGAGGGTATTCTGTGTTCTGCGTTGTTGTATTTTCTGTAAATTTTGTAGGTAAATATGTGCATAAAATAAATACTTTATATATAATTGGTGATTGGGCTTTTCCTTGGTTTATTGTAACTCAATGCAGGCTAGTTCCAAAGGAGATGTTTTATTTAATTTCGTCAGTAGAGCCATTTCCAGGAGCACTTGCACATGCCTGTTTATTGGGCTGTGCCTCTATGTCCCCTCACTGTCTAATAACATTAGCTCTGAATCAGGAAATGCAGGTCTTCTCCACCTTGCATTTCCAGCTTCCTCCAAGAGGACAACCTGGGCTTAGATAGTAGTGTGGTAAAGGCCTGGGAGGGAGTGGGAGTAGGAAGGTGGGGGTCAGTGGGGGGGGAAGGTGGAAGTCAGGGGGGGGGAGGGATATCTATAGTAATTTCAACAATAACGATTAAAAAGATGAACTGGTTAGGTCCTTAGATCTTTCTGGAGGTATCAGCTACTTTGTGTATTTTACTTAAAGCCATGCAACTTCTCCCCTAGGAAGATATGTTGAGTACATGCACATACTTGGCATGATTTGGAGAGGATTTCCTGGTGCCAGCCTCCTTGGAGTCCATTGGCTCCAAGAAAGGAACTTTTGTAAAGGTTTTTTATACCTTTACTCCTAGCAGAACAATTCATTTTCCAAGCAACCCTTCGCGCTGGTTGAAATAGGCCCAAGGGTTGTGGCCAAGTTAGTTTCTCCTCACCACTGCCCTGACTGTCATCCCTGCTTCCCCGCTACCAGGAAGGAATTCACTGGGGCGGCTGCTCTGATTCTATAGGCGGGGCAGGCAGTCTCAGGTTTTCAAAGAGACTTTAGATCCCAATGGCTTAGTAAAGACAGGCAGCACCAGAGCCCAAGTCAGATCAAAAGGATGTGTAAGTGTTCACGTGTGGCTGGACCTAATTCATGAGCAGTTACAATGTTATGGTTAGGAACAGACTATGCCAGGCTGGATTCAAAGCTCAGATCTGCTACTTGCAGCTTTCCTTTCCTCATTTATCCTGGGTAGATAAAATACATGCTGGGGCAAAAGTAGGTTTATATAGTTGTGAGCATGCAAAACATTTATTCTTGTATTATTATTATTGTATTATTGCCCATACAAATGACTAAACCTGCTTTTGCCCAACCCTGTATAAGGCTGGTCAATCTTCCGGGTTCATACCCCTGGCATTAAACATGTTAGTTCATGCAAAGCACTCGGCTACAAAGTCACTGCTTAGTAAATCTGTTACATCCTAAAAGTTAAAAAAAAAATAAAAGGATCCCACTGTTACAACCTTACCCAATGTCAACATTTCACTTGAAATAGCCATGAGGGAATTCAGTCTGTATCTGAACTAAGCAAACTTCTGAGTAGATTACATGCCAAGAGAAAGGATATTTGGCCTCAAAAGTGGTGCTTATTATGTGCCAGTCAGTCTGTGTTCTTGGAATCTTTAACACTAACAATCCTATAACTGCATTAGGTATATTTTATTGACATCTCCATATCACGGATGAGGAAACTGAGGCAGAAATGCTAAGGAACTGTTTAACGAGTCCATTCTAAAATATTAACGGATTTGTCTATGTCAGGAGTTGTGGTAGGCACCAGGGCCACAACATCGCGGTAAATATTTTTTGAGCGCCTACTGTACCTAGGGCTTGGTGTTAGGTGCTTTCCATCATTTAAGCCTCACAGTGGCCTTGCTAGTTGGGTACCCTTAACCCCACTTGATCATTATGGAAATTAAATTTGATTACTGGGCGAGGTTCAGTGGCCATCAACAGCACCAGCTGGTGGGAGGTGCGTTCCTTAGTACCATTCAAACCCCGCCGCCTTCCCGGGAAATTCCTCGGGACTCCGCCCCTCAGCCAGGTCTGGCCCCGCCCACCCGCTCTGCGCCTGCGCGCTCCGGGCGCCAGCCCCTCCTCTCGCGCGACGCGGCGCGCGCCTGCGCACTGCGGTCCATGTGGGCTCCCGCCGTCAGCCGGCCCAGGTGAGCCCCGCGCGAACCGCCGCTCCGCCAGGCCCTGCCGCCCGCGGGGCCGCCGCCGCGCCGCTGCCGCCGCCGCGCCGCTGCCGCTGCCGCCCCTCGCGGGCTCCCCGTTGCCATGGGCAAGAGCAGGACGAAGCGCTTCAAGAGACCGCAGTTCTCCCCCGCCGGCGACTGTCAGGCCGAGTTGGCGGCGGCGGCGAACGGGACCGAGCTGGAGGAGGACGACGGGCCGGCGGCGGAGCTGCTGGAAAAGGTGGGGCGCGGGCCCGGGGTCCGCGGGCGGGGCGGGGCGGGGCGGGCCGGGGGCGGCGGGCGGCGGCCCCCCGCGCTGACCCGCTCCCTCCGCAGCTCCAGCACCCGAGCGCCGAGGTCCGCGAGTGCGCGTGCGCGGGGCTGGCGCGGCTGGTGCAGCAGCGGCCGGCGCTGCGGGGCCTGGCGCGCGGGGGCGCCGTGCGCCGCCTCGGGCCGCTGCTGCTCGACCCCAGCCTGGCGGTGAGGGAGACGGCGGCCGGCGCGCTCAGGTGAGCGGGCAGGGCGGGCGGCCGGGCGGGGCCCGGGGTCCTGGGCGCTCCCATTGCATCCCCCGCGCACCCGTCCTAGGCTGCGCGCGATCGCCCCGAGCCGTCCAGGCGTCTTTCCCCCTCCTCTACCCCCCCTCCCCCCATTTGCAGAAGAGGGACTTGAACTCGGACCCCTGAGTCTCCTACCCTTTCCAGCGGCCTCTCCTCCACCTGCCCAGCGGCCTCCCCTCGGAGCCTAGCGCGCACTGTCCCCTCTCCGGGAACCCTCCGGAGTCCTGAGATGCGGGAAACGCTCCCAGGTTACCTGTGCCAGGGCCTCTGGGTGCAGGCAGCGGAGAGCGAGCCGTGCTCCGGAGAAAACCAGGAGGACGACGAGTTGGGGGTGAAACGGCACTTTAAAGTGGATGCCTTCTAGTTGACAGCTGACGGAGGAGAGAGCCAGAAAGGGGGGTGGAGGCGGGAGGAACAGCAAAGAAGGGAGGCACAGAGGCCTTGGCATGGTTACAGGGTGGAAGGCTGCTGCGGGTGAGTCGGGTAGCGGGGTTTTCTGGGAGGGGAGGCTGGGGAGGTGGACAGGGCTTGGCGTGCAGGGCGAAAGGACCAGTTCATTCTAAGCAGGAGTGGCCTGATCCCGGCTTCCTTTCCAGAAGGGCCCTCTGGTGGTGCAGCCGGCGGACTGCAGAGGGGGCCAGAGGAGCTGTTAGTGCTTGTAGGCCTAGCCCCGCCTCTGTGGATGGTGCTCCACTCTTTGACTTAGCAGGCCGGGGTGCTTCAGGGGTGTCCTCAGCGGGTTCCAGGACAGGGTGCCCTCACATCAGATTAGGATTTATGCGCATTAAATAGGGAAAGTCTCCCCCCCCCCCCCATCCCTATGGGCGCACACCCACGTGTAGGACAGGGATCAGAACAGGTGGGAATCCAGGGGTTGGTTCTGCCACATCTTACCAAATAATAGGCAATTTCGCCTGGGAAACCTTAATCCTGGTTAGAAACAGAAGTTCTTTGGAGCGCTCCCTGGTGTGTGGTGATGTGCTCTGAGAATAACCGTGTCTTACACTTCTCTGCAGGAACCTCAGTGCCTGCGGAGGGTTCGAGGTCTGCGATGACATGGTGGCGAAGGACATCATGACGCCCCTGGTCCCGCTGCTCCGGGAGGTATGCCGTCCGGGGACAGCTGTGAGACGGAGCGTTTGGTACAGACTTAGTGTTCTGTGTGCGTGTGTTTGTGTCAGCGCTTGGGTGTTATTGTGTCTCCCCCAGAACATCCTCTGGGAAGTTCGTTTCTTTTCCTGGGAACATGGGTCTCTAGTTGGTCCCCACTACCTTCATGTATGTGCTGGTTGGAAATAGACAGACACACTCCTTTAGACTTTAAACTTCATACAATAAAATAATTAGCATTACTTCTTTTTTTTTAAATTTCTTTATTTCAGAGAGGAAGGGAGAAGGAGAGAGAGATAGAAACATCAATGATGAGAGAGAATCATTGATAGGCTGTCTCCTGCACACCCCCTACTGGAGATCGAGCCCGCAACCCAGGCCTGTGCCCTTGGCTGGAATCGAACCTGGGGCCCGTCAGTCTGCAGACCGACGCTCTATCCACTGAGCCAAGCCAGCCAGGGCAGCATTACTTCTTTATGCACCAGGTGCTCTGTCACACAGTTAGACCCTCACAGCAGTCCACTTAGCATCTGTAAAAGGTCTATTTGTTTTGGGGTTTTTTTGCTGAAAGATGACTAAGTTCCCAGATTTAATATCATGCCCACTTTTTTTGCATGATATGAATTCTGGGGTCAAGGACCTTTCTCCCTGGCGTGCCTCCGATCCACGTGCTGTCCTGATGGTAATTTTCACTCAGGGCTGTCTCAAGGTCATCCAGTTCTGAGGAGGCACCGTCTTGTTCCTTTGTAAAGCAGGGGTTCGCTAGGAGGGTTTGCCCCCCAGGAGACATTGGCAGAGTCTGGAGCCATTTTTGATGGTCACAGCTTGGGCTGGGCTGCTCCTGGCAGGAAGTAACCAAGGTCACTGCTAGCCCTCCTACAGCGCACATCAGCCCCACAGTAAGACTCGTCGGTCTACAGCCCCTCCCGGGCCGGGATGAGAGTCCCTGCTTAGGGGACGCTGTGGGTTATGCTGGAGGCGCAGCTCCCAGGGTGTTCCCAGCACCCGCTTTGGAGCCAGCGCGCCCGGTCTGAGTCCCAGCTGCACCCCGTACCATGCACCCCTCAGCAGCTCTCTGTGCCTCAGTTTCCTACCGGCAGTGGAAGACCGGGATCGTGGTTCCTCTCCTCTTCCGTGGGTTGTGGTGAGGGTTAGTGACTTAATGCGTGGGAAGTGCTTCGACCCGTGCTTTGCGTTACAGGGGTCTTCAAACTACGGCCCTCGGGCCACATGCGGCCCGCAGAGGAGTTTGATCCGGCCCGCCAGGTTTTTTGGGCAGTGAGCGCAGCCGAGGTGTTACAGTAGGAATTAGTAGTTCATATAGTCCGGCCCTCCAGCTCTCTGAGGGACCGTGATCTGGCCCCCACTTTAAAAAGTTTGAGGATGCCTGGTTTAGAAGATGCTGTGTAGGTGTTCGATCTCGCCATGTGTTGGTTTTCCTTGCCTTATTTACTGTCTTTATCACATGAGATAAAATACTTTATATTGATTTTACATTTTCATTGTTTTGTTTTGCTAATCCTCACGTGAGGATATTTTTTCCATTGATTTCCACAGAGAGTGGAGGAGTGGAAGGGAGGCAGGGAGAGAGAGAAACATCGATGTGAGAAAGACGTCAACCGGATGCTTCTCACATGCACCCCGATAGGGGCAGGGATCCTGCAACCCAAGTACATGCCCTGGACTGAGAATCGAACCGGAGACTCCTTGGTCCTCAGGCCAACATTCTAACCACTGAGCACCCGGCCAGGGTTGCATTTTCATGTCCGTGTGCAGTGCCTTATCACTAGTTTGTCCAATGACTGTGGCCCTTTCCTGTCTGTATCTCTTGCCAAAAGGGAGCAGGCTTGTTAAGCACTATAATTTCGGATATTTAGTTATTGGACTCTTGGCTATCATTCGCTGTTTGGTTTAATTGTCCTTTTGAACCAGGTGCTAATTTTGATGTTTGGTTACAGTGTAGCGCTGGACTGGATTCAAACGAGGCGCCTCCCCGGGAAGAGAAGGAGCAGAGCAGAAGTTCTGTTGAGAACATAGCCAACGAGGCGGTGAACGTGCTGTGGAACATCTGGTAAGGTGCTCTCCGCCCCGAGGATGCTCTGCTCTCCCTGGGGCACCTGTCAGCCCGGATGCTGACCCTGGGTAGGCGGTCAAGTCAGGTGCTGAGGCCTCCTTCCCACTTAGTCCCTTCCCTCATCACGGCATCTCTTCCTGCTTTCCTGCTCTCTTCTCTCCGGTCGTAACTACTGACCAAAATACAGGGAGTCTTGGCCACTGGCACTGACCGCACACCCTCCCCCCACCGCCCGGATCCCTTCAGTGGCAGTTGTCCCAGCGCAGTCGCTGCTTTGGTCTGGCATCTGGAACGGGATGGGACCACCCAGCTTGGTGGTGCTTGACACACACACACACACATACACACACACACACACACACACCCGATGTTGCCATGCGACAGGGAAGCAGGGTCTGGGAGGAGCTCCATTCCAGACCAGCAGCTGGGGCCTGGGTGCACGTGCTCTGAGGAGTGAAAATGGCTAGAAACACAACCTGGATCTCCTTTTCTCTACCCACTTTATCTTCTCCATTTTTAGCAAGATTCTGCCGGAGTTCCTTCTGCTCAGTTGGCAGCAATTGTAACTTCTGGCCTAAAAGCTCAGGTATTTCTTAGAAGACAAGGTTCAGTTAGATCTGAAAGGCTCCAACACAGCAGCCCGAGCTTGCCTTTGGCTCATGGGAAACCGTGCACGCACTCCCCAGCAGCACGGGAGAGCCGATGTGAGGAGACGGCAGCGGAGCCAGCAGTGGTACACCACGTAACTTTATTTATTAGATGTTTTTATTAGCTTCAGAGACAAAAGGAGAGGGAGAGAGAGAAACATCAGTGATGAGAGAGAACCATGGATCAGCTGCCTCCTGCACGCCCCATACTGGGGCTCCTGCCTGCAACCCAGACATGTGCCCTGACTGAATGGGAATCGAACCCTGACCTGGTTCATAGGTCAACCATTGAGCCACCTGGGCCACGAACCTTTAACTTACAGGAATTATTGAACTTGGAGATTCTCTAGAAATTTCTCCGGGAAGAGCCTGAAAGTGTGGTCTCCTCGGTGATCTCTTTCCTAATGCCTGTGTCATCTCTTTCCTGATGCCTCTGTGTCATTGCCACTTCCACGTTTGCTTTGTAGTTTGTGTTGTAAATATATTTACATGTATGCGTATGTTTACTGTCTCAGCGCATGTGTGCTTACCTTCCTGACTGTGCTGACCTGACTGCAGCTTCCTGAGGGCAGGCTCACAGAGTGTGCAGTAACCAGAGAGAGAGAGAGGAAGACAGACAGGCTATGTTTCAGTTCGTAGGATTTAGTGACGTAGCCAGCTTAGCTATTAGTTTGTCATGTGCATGTGATATGTATGGGGCAATACTTTCTCTGGAAACATGGCTGTCATTGTTACAGTTAGCTCTGTTTACCCTGTATATAGTACGTATGTTAATAGCAGTGATAACCCTAATTCTGGTTCTTTTATTAACAGAACGATTTTTAAAAATAGTATAGCAGGATCTCCATTGCAGACTGCAGATTCTGCTTGTTATGATTATAATAGTCTAGAAAGAATGGCTGAAATTAATTCTGCTTCCTTAAAACGCGTGCCTTTGGGGATAAGCTCAGGGGCCTTTCACTGATTCACTGCGGCCCGGCGGGAAGCACCGGCCGACCCAGGAGCCACCTCTAACACACTGTGGTCCTGGGACGGGTCCCTCACCTCTGGGGCTGGGTCTCTCATCTGGAAGAAGGGGTTTCCGGTGAGAAGCCGGGGTGCAGGGAGGGGGGCCAGAAAGAGCCCACGGGGACAGAAGTAGACGCAGACCCCGGCTGTGTTCCTGTCCAGAGAGCACTGTGGCAGTGGTTTCTTCGTCCATAAAAATGGCGGTTCTGTTATAAACCTGGCTGACTTTCCATGAGTTTCTGTGGTTGATTGCTTAATGTGGAAATGTGAACAGTAGAACTTCTTCGCCCTCCAACCCAGTGAGTGCAGCAGCAGAGCGGTGTCTATATTCACCAGAGAAGGCTGTCTGGAGAGCGTCCTGAAGTGCTTAAGCAGGTTCCCCACCAACGTGGACCTGGCCGTCTCAGCAGGTAAGGGGAGGACGGGCTGACCTACGTATGTGTGGCCTCAGTGAAGCTGCTTATTCAGACAGAGCATATTTTCTCGTGTGCAGTGCCTAGCTGAGCTCTGTTCTGTGGTCAGTACTTACACAGCCAGTTGTCCTGCTCTGCACGCTGAGAGGGCGGAGGGCAGTTCATTGAGCTGGTGTGGCGTCTGCTGTTCCCACTCGCAGGCGCCTCGCCTCCTGAGCTCCCGTCTGCCATTCCCGGAGAAGCAGTGGCCCTCCACTGCCAAGCCTCCAGCCAAAGGTCATCAGAATCTGCACCTATTTAAACACCTGGATCACTATCTCCTGCTTTTTTAAAAACATGCTTTTTTGATTTTTAGGCAGAGAGGAGGGGAGAGGGATAGGATAGAAACATTGCTGAGAGAGAAGCATCACCGATCAGCTGCCTCCTGCACACTCCTCCTGGGGATCGAGCCCACAACCCAGGCTTGCGCCTGACCAAGATCAAACCGGTGGCCTCTTGGTTCATGGTGCTCTTGGTGCTCAGTCACTGAGCAACACCAGCCAGGCTGCTGTCTCCTACTTTTAGCATAAAACTGTAAGTCAGGCTTTTTTTTTTTTTTTGAGAGGAAAGCAAATGATTTAAATTTCTCGCAGGCCTGCTTCCCTTCCCTGGGATGGCAAGGCTGCCCCGCCTCCCGCCTCCTGCCATGGGGTTAGAGAGCCATTGGTGAGGTAGGAGAAGGGAACTGGAGACCTTGAATGGAGAAATATTATAATTGATGAAAGCATGCCTTTTCTGCCCATAACACTGGCATGCATCCTTTATTTAACTCTGCCTTCTCTTGACCGGGACAGAGCACATTCCCCCGAAGGATGTTTCTCTGGGCTCAAAGGGGACTTTTAAGAGCACAGAAAAGAAAAAAGGGAGGTGGGGACAAATACTGGGAAATTTTTAAAATCTTTTTCTTAAAATGGATTCTGGCAAGTGGGAGACTGAGCAAACGCAGTTTTATAAACAGTGGAACGAGGAAATTGGCAGGTTAACCTCTGAGGACGGTTTTTATCACAATGAGAGTTTCAAGAAAGTTAGCTCTTAGCTTTTAAAAGAAAAACGTCACTTCTATTTTCGTGTCTTCAGTCTTGTCCGAGATTTGAATTCAGGGGAGGGGTTAAATGGTTATTTGGGTGTAAGTTACCCCGCAGAATTCATGTTGGTGAGCATTCCGTTCCTGTCTTCCTAGCGTACTGTTTGCAGACGGTAACTGAGGATAACCCAGAGCTGCTGAGGGCCTTCGGTGCCCCCGCACTGCAGGTGCTGGAAGCCGCCATGCGGGCTCCTGCCAGTTCCATGGCGTACATCCTGTTGAAGACACTGGTGGCAGGTAAACTTCAGCTGGCTGTGACAGGGCGCTTTTCATAACTTGTGGTAGCAATAGGAGGCTGACATTCCTTGATTTCACGAATCCAATCTGTGCTTGTTATGGCTGTTCTGAAATTTTTTTTTTTAATGTATTGATTTTTTTACAGAGAGGGAGGGAGAAAGAAAGTTAGAAAAATCAATGAGAAAGAAACATCGATCAGCTGCCTCCTGCACACTCCCTACTGGGGATGTGCCTGCAACCAAGGTACATGCCCTTGTCTGGAATCGAACCTGGGACCTTTTAGTGCACAGGTTAACGCTCTATCCACTGAGCCAAACCAGTTAGGGCTGTTTTGAAATTTTTAATATTGAAGTAGAGACCCTGAATTCAAGCGGTATGCATAGCCGGGAAGCCTCCTAGAGTCAACTTGTTTTCAGTGTGACAGAGACTGTTGTTTGATGAGAAATACTGCTCTCAGGGTCCCCTTATGAACCGGGAAGATCAGAAATGAGCTGTGGGCATCAAGACGTTTAAATACATTTTTTACTGATTTCAGAGAGGAAGGGAGAGGGAAAGATAGAAACATCAATGATGAGAGAGAATCATTGATCGGCTGTCCCCTGCACGGCCCTCACTGGGGATCCAGCCTGCAACCCAATCATGTGCTTCTGACCGGGAATCAAACCATGACCTCCTGGTTCATAGGTCAGTGCTCAACCACTGAGTCACACTGGCCATACTGTATGTACCACATTTGGTTTATCCATTCACCTGTGGATGGACACTTGGGCTGCTTCCAGCTTCTGGCTGTTGAGTAATGCTGCCATGAGTATTTGGATACAAATACCTGTTTGAACCCCTGCTTTCCATGCTTTTGGGTGTGTACCCAGGAAGCATTTTTACAGTCACGTTTTATTCTTTTTTTTTTTTCTTCCTTTATTTTATTGATTTTTCACAGGAAGAGAGAGGGATAAAGAGTCAGAAACATCGATGGGAGAGAATCATCAAATCAGCTGCCTCCTGCACACCCCCTACTGGGGATGTGCCCGCAACCAAGGTACATGCCCTTGACTGAAATCGAACCTGGGACCCTTGAGTCTGCAGGCTGACGCTCTATCCACTGAGCCAAACCGGTCCTGGCAACCGTCACGTTTTAAACAGTTGGCCTAAGTACTTAATGGTAGCTCCTGTTCTATTTTGATAACGTGCTGCATGATTGGTCTGTGCGTGAGACCTTGGAATTTTTAGTACATTCCATTCCACCCTTGGAATATAAGCAGCTGCCTCAGAGAGCAGCTCAGGTTAAGATGAAAGAAAGAGGCAAATGAATTTATCATTTTCAGAGAAACTCGATCGTGCTCCTGGGCTGTTGGGAGGCGGCCTATCAGAGGAGGGGCTGAGAGCCAAGGAGGGAGAGGTGGCAAGGGCCTTAGTAACAGGAGCTGCCTCTGCTCAGTTCCTGCCATTTACCAGAAATCAGACGAAGGCAGAGGGATCAAGATTTTTTGAAATTACAGCTGAGCTCAGAGAACCCGTCTTGTGGAAACCAAAATTAACCAAAGAGTTCACAGGCGATTCCCTTGTCCTTGCGCTCGTGTTTCCCAGGCACCGTTTGGAACCTGAAGGACGTTATTCCGTCCAAGAGTCAAGCAGAGATCATAAGCGCCATCCTCAGGATCTTATCGGAGGTTCTGGACATGGACGCCGGCGCGGTGGTCATTCAGATGAAGGAGGCCGAGACACAGAGGCTGAGAGCCGCCGCGGAGACCGAGGAAAGGTCGGAGAACGCGAACGGCGTGGGGCTGACCGAGGACGACGAGATGGAGGAGACTCCTCCCAGGAGGAGGGTCCGGAGGAAAACCATGATCTCGGATTTGCTTCCGGTGAGTTGGGTCGGTGCTTCCCACGTGGGTCACAGAGGTTTTCTTTCAAGAGCCAGCCTCAGAGGCACACGGTAGTGGCTTGCTGGCGTGCCGGTGTTGGGACCGTAGGCTGGGCCCCGGCCCCCCGGGAGCTGTGGTGTAGAGCAGAGGACGGGAGGGGCTGTCAGCACTCTGGACAGGCACCTGGGCGCCTAGAGGCTGGGCTGTGCCAGCATGGTGACAGCCGGTGGGCTGTGGGCCTGGAGGCCGGAGGCACAGGAGCCTGAGCTGGAGCCTTGCGGAGGGGCGGAGGCCTGAGCTGGCAGAGGCACGGACGCCCCACACTGTCCAGCTTCAGACCAGCTGTCCTCCTCCGTGTCAGACGACGGACCGTGAGGCTGCGCCTGCCTTTGGGCTTTGGTGATGCCGTGCCCAGTGAGAGTCCCCGTGGAAACGAGCCTGGAAAGAAGCCTGTCAGCGTAGCGCTTGGTTGTGTTCACAGTCTCCAAAGCATGAGTCAGCGGTGGTCAGCAGAAAACTGTAGTTAGGCTCCTGTTCTAGCCCCTGAGTAGCTGTCAGGTGCAAAGCTGGTCAGGTGTGGGGTGGACGTTGCCTTTGAGTTTCTTGCACGTCATAGAGTGCCGCCCTGGCCATTTGCCGCTGTGGTGAGGGCGTCTGCCCGCGGACTGAGGTGACTCAGGGTCAGTTCCATTCAAGGACACGTGCCTGGCGGCGGGTTCAGTCCAGGGTGCGTGCCGGAGGCAGCCGTTCGATGTCTCTTTCCCTCTTCATCCCCCCTCCTCTCTGAAAAGCAATGGAAAGTGTGGATACTTACCTGGTAGTTAGAGATTCACTCCCCTAAGTATTCTTTTCAAATAGAACTTTGCTGCTTATCAAGTGCAGTGTTTCCTTATAACAGAAACGTGCGTTTTGAAGTCTGTTGACATAACTGAGTCGACTGGGTGATTAACATGCCAGCTGGCCAGCCAGTGTGCAGGTGCCCGGCGGCTGCCAGCTATCGTGCTAGTGCGTGCCCGGAATACAGATGCATAGTCCGTCCGCTCCGCTCTTCCCCACCGCCCGAGGCCTTTAGAACCAGAGCCTGCAGCCGCAGCCTTTATCGTGAGAAGCTGCCGGCACAGGGTGTAAAGCAGCAGCGCAGCCTTTGGTTTTAACACGGGCGAAGCAGGCCTCGCTGCCCCGCCCACCGCGGCCAGCTATCACCACTGTCCGTTCTCATCGATGCTCCCACTCCCCCACCCCCACGTTCTGGAGCAGGTCTCTGCTGTCATAACGTTGCTCTGGAGTGGTCCTCTGTCACTGGTGACAGTGAGAAGCAGGGAACTGTTCTGAGAGGAGAGCTGCAGGGAAAGGCAGAAGTTCCCTCGGATGCTTCTAGGCAGATCTGCCTTTTTCGGTGGGTGAGAGCCCGCACAGCCTGTCTCATTTACACACTTTGTTTGGTGGAATAGCGTACTCACAGCGAAGAGGAATGGTTTTTACACTCGTTCTTGCCGGCGAGAAAAGCAATACAAATGTCAGCTAAGCTGCATCTCTCCAGCTGGCCACTGGCCTTTACTTTTCCAGAGCGTGGCTCGAGATCACAGTCACGTCGCACAGGAAGAGGCTGGAGGATAGCAAGGGAGGATATATGTTCCAGGGCTGTCACCGACTCTAGTTATTTTGTTTGCTTGATTTTTAGAGAGAAGGGAGAGGGATGGAGAGATAGACACATTGGTGAGAGAGAACTATCCATTGGCTGCCTCCTGCACGCCCCCTCCTGGGCATCCAGCCCACAATTTGGGCATGTGCCCTGACTGGGAATCAAACCAGCAACCTCATGGTTCATAGGTCAACACTCAACCACTGAGCCACACCAGCCGGGCAGGTCTCTAGTTTTTAAGCTCTGACCCATAAACCTGACAAATAAGATGTCCCAAGTAATCTGAAATATTCCACACTAGTGAAATGCTTAATAAATTATAGTGCGTCTGCCATTCAGACAATAAAACTTACGTGAATTTCGGCTTACGCACGGTTTTGGGATGTACGTGTAGCCGTTCACTTTCCATGGGTCTGTGTGAATTGAGGTCGTGTAGTCTATCCCGCTCCTCAGAATGGTGATTGACAAGGTTGGTAACTCTCTCCTGGGGCCAGGGAAGCCCCTCTCTCGGGAAAGGAAGGCCTCCTGCCTCCTCAGGGGCGGGAAGCACCACCCCACTCCTCAGTGACTCCGGGTGGAAGGGCTGCGGGAGGTCTGGGAGTGCCGGCTTCCGGAGGAGACATCGGGTCTGACAGCGGGTTGTCCCTGTCCTGTGTCAGCGCCGGTCTGATGTGACCGCTGTTTCATCTCAGTGTGCTCACTGCTTCTGAACATACCCGGCTAAGGTTCAGGTGAATTCAGTTCACGGGCCTGAGGATCTCTCCGTCTCTCAGGCTAGCTGATTGAGTGTCAGCCTGTGAACCAGGAGGTCACAGTTCCATTCTCGGTCAGGGCACAGGCCCGGGTTGTGGGCTTGATCTCCAGTAGAGGGCGTGCAGGAGGCAGCCGATGAATGGTTCTCTCTCATCATGGATGTTCCTCTCTCTGCCCCCTCCCTTCCTCTCTGACATCAATGAAAACATTTATGTGAAAAAACGCTTTCCCGCCCTGAGAGCCGCTGTTGGTTCCCTAGCCCACTAACGAGGAGCTGAGAGAGGCCACGGCGCTGCTGACGGCGCAGCAGACGGCGCTGGAGATCATCGTCAACGTGTGCTGCAGCGAAGGTTCGTCCCCGCCCCGCTCCCCGGCCCCGCAGCCCCGCCGGCCCTGCTCCGACCCAGCCCTGCTCTCTCTCCACAGATCCCTCCGACGACGAGTGGGAGGAAGAGCTTTCCAGCAGCGACGAGAGCGAGGCGTTCATGGAGAGTTCCCTCGGCGATGGTGGGGGGCAGCTCCTGTCTCCCCTCTGCCTCTCCCACGAGACGCACGCCGCCCTCACCAACCTCCACATCCCCGGGAAGGTACTGGCTCCGGCCGGGCTCACCGTGCAGCGGAGAAGGCCTGGGGCTGCGCTGTGTGCAGGGCAGTGAGCTCACCCTGGGCAGAATGCAGGCCTGGAAAGGGCTGACGCAGCCCCAGCTGAGGGCCGTCTCCCTTAGCTGCCTGCCGCGCTGGCTCTGTAGGGGGCGCTGTGGGAAGAGTCTTCTCTTTAACATCTGCCCTCCGCCTTTCTAAGTCCAGGTGTTTGAGAAAACTGCCTTTCCCAGCAGCGCTGCGGTGGACGTGTGTTCCAGGAGCCCCACGTGGAAGCCTCTGGTTAGAAAGTAAGACCTTGTCCGTTTTCAAAACCATTCGTCGCCGCTGTGCTGCGAAAGGTGGACCACTCGGGGGGAGGTGCCCCCGGTTCCCGAGTGTGTGCCCTGGAGAGGCGTGTGCACAGCAGGGACCATCAGCGGCAGGATGGGCCCGTGCATTTGGCATTGTCACTCAGTGGAATGCAGGCAGCAGTATGGGATCCAAGCTAGATCTTGTCCCTAGCAGCCTGCCAGAAAGGGAGGCATCAGTGGAGAGAGAATTCTTGGCCGGCTGCCTCCTGCACGCCCCCATGGAGGATTGAGCTGCAACCTGGGCCTGAACCCTGACCAGGAACCAAACCATAAACTCCTGGTTCACAGGTCAGCCACTGAGCCGGGCTGATTCCGTTTTTACCAAGTTCAGAAGCAGGTGCCGCCAGGCTGTTTTGTTGGGATGCATACATAGGTGGTAAACCTGTGAGAAAAGGAACTGTTTCCTGTAAAGTCAGGCCTGGTGACTGGCCTTCAGTGAGAGGGGGGCGTGGCAGGGCAGGGCAGTCACCAGCTGGGAGGGTGCTTGTCTCACCGGCTGCACAATCGCTGGCTGTAAACATTGTCTCACAGGATGCGATTGATGTGCCGCCCGTAGGGAGGTCCCAGTCACAGCTGGACAGAAAGACGCTGCGGGTGCAGTTTCCTAAAGCCAGTGCCTGTGCCCCGGAAAGGGGCTGCCCTCCGGGCCTGGAGGCTCGGCAGTGTGCTTGGGGTCTGCTGGCTGCCAGCCCTGCCCCTGAGCCTGAGCCGGCACCGGAGCGCAGGGAGCAATGGGCCGGGCTCCGGGGGGCGCCGATAGAGCAGCAAACGGCCTTCTCCCCCTACCGCTTCCTGCAGGATGAACACGGTGCAGTGGCGGGCCCTCGTGTGTCTGCAGAGCCTCGTGTCCCTGCTGGAGGTGGAGCACCTGGGCGGGGCGCCGGCCCTGCAGGCCCTGGCGCAGCACCTGTCCACCCTGCTCTTCTCCCAGCCAGGTAAGTCACCAGACTCTGAGGGCGGGACGGGGAACACACCCTGTCACGGTCGTTTCAGAATCAAGTGTGCCGTCTCGCGGGCTTTCCCAGGAGCTCGGCTCCCATGTCACAGCGTGCTCATGGCAATGGCCTGTCCCCCTTCCTGCGCTCGGTCTGGATCGCCCCTCTGCTCAGGGCCGGGGCCTTGGAGAAGCCCTCACACCCCTCTGTTTCAGACCTCGCCGAGCACTCGGACTTCCTGGAGGCCATCAGCGGCGCCCTGAGGGCCCTCCTGCAGACCATGGCCGCCAAGAACATCGCTCAGGTGGGATGTGTGGTTCTTCTTCACCAGGAGCTGCTGTTCTCGGGACAGGCAGCCTGGGGGATGCTCAGCCAGGCTGCACGTGCTGTGGCGCTGGTGAGCTTTGCCTTCATTGTTTGTCTCCTCTGACAGTGCATGACGCCCGACCAGCTGATGACGCTGTGCAGAGCCGGCATCCAGAGCGGCAGCGTTGGCGTGAGGGTGAACGTGGTCAGCATTTTGGGGATCACGGGCAGCGTCCTCGCCAAAGAAGATGGTGCACTTGAGACGCTCAAGGTAACATGGCTTCCAACCAGAAATGCTGAAGTGGAGTGGGGGGGGGCGTCAGAAACGTCGGTGGGCAGCATGAGACGAGCTCATATAGGGAAGCTGCTCCCTGGAGGGCGTTAGTGAAGCGCACGCTGCTGAGTAGGGGTGAGTGAAAATACTGCCTGAGGGTTAGCAAGGACGCACGTTCAGATGGAAACCGAGGCCCGAGCACTGAGCAGACTGTCCCGCGGTCACAGTGGAGCCAGTTTGGAGCTGTTAGCATGTCCTCTCCCGCCTGGTTACTAGATCTGCCCTTGGACGCTGACCGCACGCCGTGCGCTCCGGCATCTGCGGGGGGAGGGCTGCCGTTGGCGGGCAGCGGCGAGGTAGGTGTCTGAGGCCAGCACAGCAGAGCCACCTGAGACTGTTGTGTTCAGTTTCTGTCTTTGCTGTGAGTGTTTCTTATGCTTTAAAAAGTAGGGTTTTGTTACAGGTAACATTTCTGTGCATTTTTACACCACAGGGAAAGCCTTTTGAGGGAGCCAGGAAAACTTAATAATTTTCTAAATCAATCTTTCATATAGACCTTAACTCGTTTTATTTATGAATATAAATTCTAACACGTTTCATTTGTCTTGCTGACGTTTTACTCCTATATTTATAAACGTGTTCTAAGTGTTGTAAAAGCTCTCCTTCACCCGGCGTTCGATGTGAAACGTGCACCAATCGCTGCCCCGTGAGGCGGTGCTCGGGAACGGCCCTGAGCGCTGGTGACAGTGTGTTCTGTCGGCCGCAGACCATCGGGTGCTTCCTGCTGGAGGTGGCCACCAAGGACCCCTCGCTGGTGGTGGTGGGAGAGGCCCTGGACGCCCTCTTCGACGTGTTCGCCGACGGCAGCGAAGCTGAGAGGGCCTCGGTGCAGATCCGTTTGTTGTCTGCCCTGAAGGAGTTCCAGCCGGTCTTCAAGATGAAGGTAAGAGGCCGGCGGGGTCAGAATGCCTCCGCCTCAGCGTCCTGGGGAAGGGGCGGGTGGTCCCTGCCAGCCTGTTAGCCTGGAGCCCCGGGGCCCAGGCTGAGTGCTGCGGGCTGCATCCCCGCTCAGGCTCCCCGAGCTCAGTCAGTGGCCAGTGTCGGACCATACCAGATTACAGCTCTGCACATTCATTAGCACCAAAGCCCCACTGAAGCAAGTCCTGCTCCATAGAGGTGTCTCCTGCCCAGCAGCTCCCACTGTGGTCATAGCTGGTCCTCACAGCCAAGTGGCCTGGAGGTCAATTCCTCCCAGTGACACCAACAGCGATCAAGGCTCAACGACAACAACAGTACTCAACCCACAGAGGGGTGCGCCTAGAGCTCCCAGCTCAGGTGAGTTGGGGGCTGAGCCACTGGGCCCTGTAGGACACCCAGCACACAAGGCCACTCCACAAGGAGACATAGCAGCTCTCCCCAGTGTACAGGGAAGCAGCCAAAATGTGGAGACAAACGAAAGAAATGGGAGGAAGCAAACTACTCTATATAGAGTTCAAAACCATAGTTATAAGTTATTCAGAAATCTTCTAGAAATCTCCAAAAAAAATTGGAAAAGGACAGGTCAGAAATTAAGCATACATTGACTGAAATAAAGAATAATGTACAGGGATTCAAAAGTAGAGTAGAGGATTCTGAATGTCAAATCAATGATTTGAAATATGAAGAAGCAAGAAACACCCAACCAAAAGAGCAAAAGAAAAATAATCCGAAAATATGAAGATAGTGTAAGGAGCCTTTGGGACAACTTCAAGCGTACCAACATTCGCATTATGGGGGTGCCAGAAGAAGAGAGAGAGCAAGATACTGAAAACCTATTTAAAAAAATAATGACCGAAAACTTCCCCCACCTGGTGAAAGAAATAGACTTACAAGTCCAGGAAACACAGAGAATCCTAAACAAAAGGAATCCAAAGAGGACCACACCAAGACACATCATAATTAAAATGCCAAGAGCAAAAGACAAAGAGAATATTAAAAGCAGCAAGAGAAAAGCAGTTACCTACACAGGAATGCCCATACGACTGTCAGTTGATTTCTTAGCAGAATTTATGCAGGCCAGACGGAAATGGCAAGAAATATTCAAAGTGATGAATAGTAAGAACCTACAACCAAGATTACCCAGCAAAGCTATCATTTAGAACTGAAGGTCAGATAAAGAGCTTCACAGACAAGAAAACGTTAAAATCCATCATCACCAAACCAGTAGTATATGAAATGCTGAAAGGTATTTTTATAAAGAGGAAGAAGAAAAAGATAAAAAAGATAGGCAACAAATGCATATCTATTAACTACATCTAAAAATCAAAATAACTAAATAAGAAATCTAATGATCAGAATAAACTGGTGAATAAAATAGAATCAGAGGCATGAAAATGGAAGACTGACAATCCTCAGAGGGAAGGGGGTGGGGGTGGGAAGAGATTATACAAAGATCATCTATGCATATATGCATGACCTATGGACACAGACAATAGGATTGAAGGCCTGAGGCAGGGTGAGAATGGGTGGATGGAGGGGCCAATGGGGAAAGAAGAGAGACATCTGTAATAATCTCAACAATAAAAAATAAACTAAAAAAGTGAAAATGTTTCACCCAATTCCAGCAGCTATCTGATCCTGAAAATAAATACACGCAAAACGAAACGCTTTCTGTATGTACAGGTATTTTTTTTTTTTTTTTTTTTTTTTTTATTATATATGTCAACTATACTTAAAAAAAAAATGCTTGACGATTAGAAAGACCAAAATCTAAAAAAAAAAAAAAGGGGGGGGGGCAAGGGGAGACGGGGTGGTGTCCAATGTCTTCCTCGCGGGATTATGAGGCCGTGGCGCCCGCAGCCCTGAGATTACTTCCCCTCCCGCCCTCCCGCCCTCCTGGCGGGAATGGGGCGGCACGGCTCGCGGACGCGGATGCGGGGCCGGGTGTCGGCGAGAAGCGAGAACTGGGCGGAGGCGAGAGGAGGAGATGGAGAGACCAAGGGAGCGGGACGGAGGGAGGGATGCGCCGGAGCAGCAAGAGGGACGGCACGGCCTCGGCCCCCGAGGATGCGCGGCCGGAGCTACCGGCCCGGAGGGAGGCGCCGAGCGGCGGCCTTTACCTGCGTCCGAGCAGCCGCGGCCGGGCCAGCGCCGCGGGGAGCTCCGAGCAGCTGCGGGCGGCCCCCGGCGCAGCCCACGCCTCACCGCAGCACCAGCCTCTCTGCGCCCAGCCTCGCCACGCCATCTTCCCCTGTATGTACAGGTATTAGTAATTGACACCACCTCATTTGTGGTTTCCTTTGGCAGATCCGAAAAGAAGGGAAAGGCAGGTACAGCCCAGACCAGCTGTGCGTCCTCGACAACGTGAAGACGAACTTGAGGAGGTTTGTCGCTTACCAGGAGACGGTTGAGAAGAGACTGGCTGCTTGACCCGCTGAGAGAGAGCAGTCCTTGTCCCCACGTGTCCAGGTCTCCCTGGTGGGGCCTGTTTCCAAAAGCCGCTGTCAGTGTCTGTGTTCCATGTGTGACCGTGAGGTTCTCAGGACCTCGGGGCCTGTCAGGGGCGCGTCCTTCCCGGAGCTCTGGGATCAGCGTCTCACGCTCTCCGCCTCAGGCACGGACACGGAGGCGGGGAGCACCGAGGACTCAGGTGGTGCTCGGTGAGCAGAGTAGAAACTTGACTCAATTTTGAAAAAATACAGGAAAACAAGCATTGCCTGGATGCTCTTTTAAGTCTATCATTTTATATTGGCTGCATTTTTAACTTAAAGACAAGCTTTATAAAAGATTTTTGGTATGAAGTATATCAATTATGTCTGCCTTTTGTTAAGTGAATGAATTGAATTTGTATTCCACTATTCTGTAGGATGTACAGAAGGGCTAACGAGGTCATTATCACCCTCTGTGTAAACAGGTCAGCTCTGCGTATTGCTTTGTAACTCTTTAATTTGATATGTCATCAGAACTGGAGGGAAATATTTTTAAATAAGTAAATTTTTAATAAAAAGCTTTGTGTCTTACAAAATCTTTTTAAAAATACAAGGTAGTCCTGTTTCTGGGCATTTGCTTGCTAGTGGACATTGTTGTGAATACGTGTGAGGTATTAGAACCGAGACTTAAGCAGGAACCTTCAGCATGACTCAGTATCCTTGAAACATCGCCAACTATAAAACATTGAGAGAAAGTAAACCTGAATGAGGGGAGAAATCTACCATGTTCATGGATTGAAAGATGGTATTTCTTCCCAAATCCATCTGCAGGTCCGAGGCAATCCCGATAAAAATCCTAGCGGGGTTTTCTGTAGAGACTGACAAGCTGGCTGTAAAACTAGGTGAAGGGGAGAGGACTTGAAGTTTCCAATACAACGTTTAAAAGGAAGAAGAACCGTGACCTCCTGGTTCCTAGGTCAGCACTCAACCACTGAGCCATGCCTGGGCGTTAAGGGGTCCCTCTTTCCACTTTCACCCCGGGGCCTGCTTCCTGCTTCCTTGGGACCAGCCACTGAAGATGTCAAGGTCCAACATGTCTTTTACTCTTGTCCCTTCTTCTGAGTTAAAAGTACACCTTCATTTTACTATTTAACCAAAAGGAAATGTGGTGTCGCGTAAAAGATTCTCAAGTTTTGCCCTATTAGAGAAATTTATGTCTTCATCTGAAACTATTTGGGTCCACTTAATTGAACAATTCCTCATTTTAATGAACGGAATTAGCTTGAGTCGTTTTTTTCCGTGCCGAGTGAGAAATTACAAGCAAGTGGTTTCCAGGATCTGCTTCGCTGTATTTTTAGCCTCTGATTTCGTGGGGAATCCTAACCAGGAGAACACAGCTGCCCTACAATTGTAATGCTTTCAGCAATGTGTGCCTGGCTGTGAGAAGGACAAACCCTTCCGGAGTGAAGGAACTGCTGACTTCACATTTGGTCTGAGTGAAGCCAGGAAAACACCTTCCTGCTGTCATTTGTAGGAAACCGTTTCCTGGGTTTGTGTAACATAAAGACACTTAAGTTTATTCAAGTACAATAGGAAGAAATGAAGTCTGTCTTTTCTAATGAAGACTGGAATTAGCGTGCGCTGGAGTGATTTCACCAAGGTAGCTTCAGTCGTTACCTGCCTTTTCTTCTCTTCTATCACAGATTAGTGTACAGAGCCAGGAAATGCTTAAAATCATCACAGTCTTGCCCTCGCTGGTTTGGCTCAGTGGATAGAGCATTGGCCTGCAGACTGAAGGGTCCCGGGTTCGATTCCGGTCAGGGACACGTGCCCAGGTTGCAGGATCACCAATCAGTGGTTTTCTCTCATTATTGATGTCTGTGTGTGTTTCTCTCTCTCTATCTCCCTCCCTCCCTCCCTCTCTCTCTCTCTTCCTTTCTCTTCCTCTTTGAAATGAATAAAATTATATATTTTAAAAAGTAAAATCATCACAGTCTTGAAAACATTGCACATGCTCATGAACAAACTCCATTAAAATTTACAGGAATTCGTGCAGTTCATTGTTTGATAAAATGACATGATCAACTACCAAAAAAAACCCACAAACGAAATAAGGATGTGTTCGCCTTTGGTCTTCACTCTATGTCTATGGCATTACACGGTGATAGAAGTTCTGCAAAATCCAGAAGACTACATTTCCCATTGTTCTCGTGGCTAAAGTTACATTTCCTTTCTGGTGGAGGTCATCTCACCTGAGGATATTTTTCTATTGATTTTTTTTTAGAGAAAGTGGAAGGGAGGGGGAGAGACAGGATCATTGACCTGTGAGAGAGACTGATTGGTTGCGCCCCAACTAAGTTCAGGGATTGAACCTGCAACCAAGGTACATGCCCTTTACCCAAGCTAGGACCCTTTAGTCATTCCGCTTTCGGTCTCTGAATTTGCTCTGGGCATCGCATGTAGGTGGAATCTTAATATATTGTTGACTTGTGATGGGCTTATTTCACTTAACATCATGTCTTCAAGGTTCATCCATGTCGTAGAATGTATGGGTTTCCTTTTTAGGGCCGGATAGTATTCCATTCAAGGTTGAATGCTACTCCATCCACATACCGTGTATCCATTCATCTGTTGATGGGCACTGGGGTTGCTTCCACCTAGCTATGGGCTATTGTGAATAATGCTGCTATGAACATGGGTGTATAGTTAGGGCTAGGGTTATGGCTATGGTTAGGGTTAGGGCTAGGGTTAGGGATAGGACTAAGGTTAGGGCCAGGGCACAAGGTTAGGGCTAGGCTAGGGTTAACATGATGGTCAGAGGTCAGCTCCCACAGATGCCCGCTACCCTGTGTGACCCAGAGGCCAGAGTCTGCTATGAGGTCACATCCTCAGGGCAATGGCACCCAACCCTTCACCACCTTCTGCTGGTTAGAGACAGATCCTAAGTTACACCCTCAGAGAAGGGGTGTGGGTTATACAGAAAGGGGAATCCCAGAAACGGGACCATGGAGCAATCATCTCGGAGTCCGTCTGCCCCCCACCAGGCCCCTGCCGTCTCGGAGCTTCATTACAGGGGGGCAGACGGAGAAACACGGGTGCTGCATGGGAGAGCCAAAGCTGTCCTATCAGGATGCCCAAAGGGGCCCGGCCGGCGTGGCTCCATAGTTGAGCACCGACCTATGAACCAAGAGGTCATATTTCCACCTTTTCAGGGCACAGGCCCGGGTTGTGGGCTTGATCTCCAGTTGGGGGTGTGCAGGAGGCAGTCGACGGAGGATTCTCTCTCGTCACTGATGTTTCTCTCTCTCAAATAGGCAAATAAATAAATGTTTTATTAAATATTGAAAAGAAAAAGAGAAAGAGCTGCCTGAATAGCTAGCAAAACTTGGACAGTTGTGTTTTTCCCCCGTCATTAGGCGAGGCGAGCAACTCTCTGTGGGGGCTTTACAGCCACCAAGGTCAACGTCGACGGAAATGCCACTCGAGTCAGAGGTTACCCAGAGAAGGCAAGTCTCCAGAGGCAGAAAGAAGGGTAGTAGTTGCCCAGGGCGGGGATTGGGAAAAGGGATTGGCTGCCAATGAGCAGCCCTAGAGATTTGGGGGGGAGGGGGCGTTGATAGAAAATATTCCAAAATTGGATGATGATGATGATGGTGGTGGCACAACTCTTAACTTTTCTAAAAAAAAAACTCACACTGAAAACGAACACATTTCATAGAGTACGCCTTATACTATAAAGTTGTTAACACACCCACGCACTCACTCCAGAGATCCCAGAATGGCACACCATTGAGCAACGTGTTTCTAAAAACAGCACCGGGAGAAACTGGGACTGTCCTTCCCGCTGCCTGTCATTCTGACGTCTCATTAAGAAAGATCTCCCTCCTCAGTCTACTTTGCTTTCCCTTCCCGGAGGAGGAGAGAAAACCCGCGATATAATGTGTGTACCGTGTGCAAGAGGGAAAATTGTAGATGGGGGCTAGGCCCTAGGTGGCTAATGCCTAGAATGACTGCTTCATAAGCTGAGCCCCGGAGGTATTAACAGCCCTACTGTGTGACTGTCAGCCCCTGGCTGGTTGCGCTCCGGAGGGCGGGAATGCAATCATACACCACCCGTCCCTTCATCCCAAGGCCAATTCCAAGACCAGTTACTAATTACACCCCGTAATTAGTGTGCCGTGCCCCTTCTGTTTCTTGCAAGTGAATATGCCAATAAAAATCCTATTTCAATCTGCCGGATTCTTTGGTAATTTGCTTCCTTCTCATTTCTCGACTCTGTTTCTGACCTGCAGAACCTTGGTGGGGCCGTAAATCTTTCAAGTTGAGACCAACAGCTCATCATGTTCTTCCCTAAGACCAAGAATCCTGAGAATGGACAGGACATCCTAGATAATGAAAGGCTAGTATGCAAATTGACCCAACGGCAGAACAACCGGTTGCTATGACCCACACTGACAACCAGGGGGCAGACACTCAACGCAGGAGCTCAACCGGAAGCAGGGCTCATGGCTGGGAAGCGCAACAGCAGTGCTGGGAGCCTTTCCTGCCTCTGCAGCTGCCCTAAGGATGCCAAGCAGGGAATGGGCCTAAGCCATCAGTCAGACATCCCCCCTGGGGGTCTCCCCAGACTGCAAGAGGGCACGACGCACATGCCAGGCTGAGGCCCGCCCCCCGACCCCCCGAGTACATGAAAATGTCTGGGTGTATGATAGCTGTCTTGTGTTGTTGTTGTTCATCAATACAATGCAGAGAGTTTTGAAGACCATGTCTATCTTGTTCTAAAAAGCAAAAGGAAAAGGTTGAGTCACCAAAATTTATGAGTGAAGTGAGTCTGTCTCTTCGGATGCAGCAGGTTACAGCGGATTTGTCGGGGAAAGGGGACACATCTTTGTGTTTGTAAAATTCCCTACTGTTTTACGTGAGACACGATGGAAACGTCCTCCAGAGAGACTTTCTGTTTCTAAATCACGGCACCCCAGTCACCACTCAATGACACGGCTGTAGCGCCTGGTCCACAAAGGCTGTTCCTGCCACAGGGCCTTTGCACCGGCTAGTTCCTGGGCCCGACGGGTCATTCCCTAGATGGACACGGCCCACGGCCTCACTGAAGTCCCTGCTCAAACGTCCCTTCCTCAGAGCAGCCCTCCCTGACCAGTCCATCTAAAAATAGCACAGAGCCGAAACTGGTTTGGCTCAGTGGTAGAGCGTTGGTCTTGCAGACTGAAGGGTCCCGGGTTCGATTCCGGTCAGAGGCATGTACAGTGGTTGTGGGCACGTCCCCAGTGGGAGGTGTGCAGGAGGCAGCTGGTCGATGTTTCTCTCTCATCGGCGTTTCTAGCTACTATCTCTCTCCCTTCCTCTGTAAAAAATCAATAAAATATATTAAAAAAATAAATAAAAATAAAAATAGCACGGACACTGTCCCTGTAGCCTACTTTCCTTTTCCTTGTAGCACATAACCACCGTCTGACCTTACGAGCCTGCCTCACCGCTGGAATGGAAGGCCCATGAAGGCGGGGACTCCGTCAGTGTAGGCCATCGCTGTATCACACCATATGCTGGCACGTAATATCTG